AAGGCGGCGCGGAAGAAGCGCAGCATCGCGAGGTGGAGAGCACTGGAAACGTTCTTCGAGGGCTATGTACGGCAGCTCGAGAAGAATAGGTGCGAGAGGGATCAGGCGGATTTCTGCAGGTACCTGAAGATGATCGACGTCGAAGGTAAGAGGTCGTTCACCTCTCAGAACATCAAGGACGAGGACGGCAAGGTCCTTCGGGACCCCACGTTTATTCGCCAACGGTGGGCACGGTGGTTCCACAAGCTTCTCAACACCAAGTCGCCGACCATCGACCTGCATGCGGCTGACAAGGTCAAGCGGTGGCCCACGTGCGTGCCACTCGACGACATCCCATCTCTACTTGAGGTTGAGGAAGCGGTACGGGAAATGGCCAACAGAAAGGCCGTCGGGCCGGACGACCTACCGGCTGAACTGATCAAGCTTTTCCTGGATGAAGGTCAAGGTTTCCTCCGCGAGTTCCACGCCACTGTCGTGGACGTGTGGCAGACTAGGGACGTACCACAGCAGTGCAGGCATGCCACCATCAAAGTGCTGTTCGAGAAGGGGGACACGATGGAGTGCGGCAACTACCGGGGCATCTCGCTCGTCGCACACGCCGGCAAGGTGCTGCTTAAGGTCGTCGCTACACGACTGAGCCACTACTGCGAGCGAGAGGGCATCCTCCCGGAGGAGCAGAGCGGTTTCCGCTTACACCGGTCCACGCTCGACGTGCTGTTCGCCATCCAGGGGCTCCTTCAGCTCGCGAGGAAGAAGAGTACTGCGGTGTTCGCGTGCTTCGTCGACCTCACCAAGGCATACGATTCGGTGGACCGAGACCTACTGTGGGACGTGCTCCGACGCTTCGGCGTGCCCCCGAAGATGCTGGCGGTCATTCGCCACTTCCACGAGGGCATGAGGGCGCGCGTCCGAACGGACGACGGGCAGTACCCGGAATGGTTCGACGTGGGCCTCGGGATGCAACCTGGCCCCGCTGCCGTTCAACTTGTGCTTTGCCGCGATGCTCATGATCGCCGTGACCGAGTTCGACAATGACCTCAAGATGACGGCGGACATGGTCAAGATCGGGACACAAGTGGAGTACACGGGCAAGAAGGGCAGGTCGGCGGGGAAGAAGACGACGGTGGTGACGGACGCGGAGGCCTTGTGGGCCATGCTCTACGCTGACGACGCGGCCATCGTCTCGCGCTCGCCGGAGAGTCTCGAGAAGATGATGTCGGTCATCGTGCGCGTGGCCGGCCTGTTCGGACTGATGGTGTCGGAGCCAAAGACGGAGATCATGTGCATGCTGCCAAAAGGGATCGAGGAACGCCCGTTCACGGTCAGCGCCGCCGGCCAGACGTACAAGCAGACAGATCGGTTTGTGTACCTCGGACGTACCATCTTCGCGGACGGGAAGGACGACCGGGAGACCACGAG